AATTTGTTCTTTTATAGGAAAATGAGATATATTTTTGCAGATTTTAAAAGTTTTGAGGTATATATATAGCTCCATGTATGCTTTTTGTATGAAAAAAAAACTTTCAATTGATATATTTTCGCTCATGCTCTGCGCGCCTCTAAAATGGCTGGGTGCACCAATTTGTTGACAAAGATGATCAATTTTGTCCCTAGTGAAGCAATTACACGCCCCATATAAATTCTAAAATGGCTAGGCGTACCACCTACCCTATGTCAAGCAATCACACACCGTTTTCTTTTATTGCTTCTTTAGAATAAAAATACTCGAGCTTTTTATGTTTCCAAAATTGTGTGTTACATGTTTATTTCCAAATACACTTAAATTCCTAATACAATCAAGATTACACTTTCTAACTACTATATAAATATTTAGAACTCATTACTAATGCTTTTATAAACTTTTACAATCTTCTTATACAATGGAGGATGAATCTGAAAATTATCTAAATAGTAGCACTCTTGATTTTCACACTTATGAGGTGTTCATCTGCGCCACTGTCTGTATCTCAATTCTTTTTTGTGATGTGATTCATTAAGTTTGTCGTATACAATATTCGATAATATTTTGATGGTCATATACTACCCCCGTCCCAAATTGATTTGCAAATTTGACTTTTCGTAGTCAAACAGTTTCATTGTATTCGCTTAATTAGGATGTCAACTTTTAATTACATTTTAATTTGAAGTTTGCAACTTTAATAGAAAAAACACCCGCACATAAACATACATCTAATAGGGCAGATCAGTTCAGACTAGGCTAGACCAAACTTACTAGAACAAATAAGATAAGATTATACCAGATTGGACTAGACCAGTAAATTTTAATTCAATTAAAAACACCCTCATTTGTATTATAATAATAAATTAATGTCACCCAATACTTAATTTTTGTCAAACTAATAAATACACTTCAAATTACAATTTTCTTTTTATAAATTAACGGCTCCTACAAATAATTTAGAATGTTAGTTTAATATATTTTTTATTTATCCAAAATTTTAAATATAAATAAGCATAATTACTTTTTTGATCGTGTTTAAACTTGTATAGTGTAACTGATACTTCCAGTTGAACTCATTTCAGTCTAGATCTTAGATATTAGTAACACATGTACGAAACTAGATCAAATCAGGCCAGAATTGAACACTTCTGAATGTTTAGGTTTTTCAGGGTTATTTAAAAAAAAACCTTTTGTGCTTTGAAGCTCGACAAATTATATTTTGATTATAATGACGTGAATGATATTTAGGATGTTTATAATTGAACTGATTTCGAACCAAATAGATTCAAGCAAATAGGATCAGATCTGACTAGACTAGATTTAAATAATACGGAGTAGTAAATATACATTTATCGACCGTTCACGAGACTTGTCCAGATGTTTTTTAAAAAAATTACATATATAATATGGGTTTCATATGAAAGATCATAAAAAGATATTTAATTTGGTATAATTTTTATAAAAATCGGAGCAAAAATGAAAAAGTTATGACATTTTATAAAAAAAGGAATTACTTGTCACATGACAACATCTTATTGGATGTACTAGATTCTCACCCGTGCTATGCACGGGACAACAACGTTCACTGAAATGATATCACATTGTTTATTTATTAGAGAGTATATAATTATATTAAAAATAACATCAAAACTTCAGAGAATAAATGTGTAAATGTATGAGAATAGAATATGAGGTATTATATAATAGGAAAAATGGACATAAATAATCCCAACTATTAGTGATATACTTGAAATAATCCCAAGTATCAATTTTCTCAAAATAATCCCAAGTATTGAAAATAATTCTCAAAATGCTCCAATGATCGACTTCAAATAACCCTTAATAAGTTGGGATTATTAGAATGTTTTCTCAAAATGTATGATATAGTATGTATGAGCCACCCAACGGAGCATTTTGAGAATGTTTTCTAATAGTTGGGATTATTTTGAGATAATTGAAAGTTTGAATTATTTCAAATGTATCATCAATAGTTGGAATTATTCTTGTCCATTTTTATTATATAATAAAGGTTATAATTAGTGAGAGTGAAAGTTAGTATTGACGGTGTTTAGTGTTTTGGAAGAGGAAAAAACTGAATATTAGAAAGAGTGGAAAATTTATACTCCGTAGCTTTTTTAACACATCAGGAATCAATATTGTTATACATTTACTAATTGTCACTTTCACCAACTTTCACCAACATAGATTTCCATTTGACATTACTCTATCTATCAAATTGCATTACAGAGAGTATACTTGCACAGTCTTGCACAATTACCATCAAACCAATTTGTCTCAACATTATATTTGAATTGACTATTGAAGGTATGCTTCAACATACCACATATTTTTTATAAACTAATGCTCATTATCATTACAAAATACACATTGCAGCATTCATAAGAGAAGAATTAATGGGCAAGTACATCATAGATAATTCATACGTAGCATTTCGTATAAATCTTTGTTAAAATATTACAATAACAAATTATCAGCATAAATCGTTGATTGCACCCATACTTAATCTCTTCATCTGCAAAAATAACAGTTGACAAAAAATATACTAAAAAGTTGAAAAATGTCCCTAATTTAGTAAAATTTTATACGAAAAATTACTACGAAAAAGTTAACAACATAGTACAAAAAGTGTCAAATGATCCCTAAATTAGGTTTTATTAGAAGACCACGTTAGAAGTGCTTTCGCCAAATAATACCCTCACCACTCAATGTGTATTATTTTATTACGTAGTATTAATTTTACTTGTCTATAAAATAAAAATTTTATGAGATAAAAATTTGGCATATAAGCACACACTTAAATATAAAAAAATCTAAATAAATATCGCAGTTCAATTTTATTAAAAACTCATTATATAGAAATAGAATATGTTAATCTTATACTCCGTACTACGTATTTCTTTCTTTCTTTTAGGAAAGAACAATTAAATTAATAAAAAGTTACTACATATTTCTTATATAATTAAGTTAATGCTTATAGAAAAAATTAAATAATGACTAAGATTATATGTCATTATAGAGGTATGACAATATTTACCTTGTATATGTGCACATATAGGTTTGTATATATGTATAACTCCATAATCTCCTACACAATTGAACATAAAACTTGTGAAAATCATAAAAAAAGATTTTCCTGTTGAAAAACAAACACGATTTTTCAATTGAGTAGCACTATTATTTCTAATCAAAACATATACTCCCTCCGTCCCAAAATGGTTGGCCAATGTTGACTTGCACGTGGATTAATAAAGTAAAAACTGTGTGGTTGAAATTTGTGCAGAGGAGAGAGAATTAACTTTAGCCACATATTTATTACTTTAAATGGAAATGGCCAACCTTTTTGGGACGGCCAAAAAAGGAAATTTGGCCAACCATTTTGGGACGGAGGGAGTACTAAATATTTTTAGTTCAAAATATGTTATCAAACAACTTAAATTTTGAAAACTAATTTGAGTTGAAGTTAAAAACTAATTACTGTTCTGAGATGTCTTCTAGTAAGTTGTTGCCAATATGAGTTGAACCTACTCATCTAAATTAGGAGAACAATAAGATAGATTGATTTAGCACCAATAAACGTCAACGATTAAACTTTTTACTTTCAACAAAATTATTGACCCAAAAGTTTGAACTTTGTGAGGGTTAGTAGTGGATATGGTTGAAAGAACCTGCTAGTATTACCAACACTCGGCCTTCACCCTGGAACTGCCTGAGTTTGCTGGTTTTCACTGCGCCCCATTGATTCTGGCGCCATTTCTCTGCTGGTGCCCACCGTAGTTGAAAAGGAGAGCCCCAAGTTCTTCGTCCTCGACCCCAAGATCGGGAAATTTGTCCGTGAGAAACCTTGTCGTGAGCTGTCTTAAACGGCCAGTTTGGTCGTCGTCTTGCTGGTCAAACGTAGGATCGATGTCCTACGGCTCGGACTGCTTGACGATTTCAGATGAGATTGGAGATTTTATAACCAAAGATGTGGTATATAGAATGATTTTGAGCTTTGAAGCTAAGGGTCAAGACTGGGGAGCTAATTACTGAAATTACACAACAAATGCTACAAAATATAACAAACTGAACCTGAAAATCATCATCTGGGTTGGAGGAGGCGCCTCAGGCGAGACTGGTTACAAAACACATAACCACTGTGCGGTTCAGGGAGTTGGCCGCCTGCTCCGGAGGCCGGGGTCGGGTGAAGAAGTTGATTATTTGTTTTACAACCACTGTGCAGCTCCATATATCGAGCAATATCTATTCAACAGAGAGATAGCTGTAGTGCACCCACTCGGTTAAAGATCGAAACATATTGGGCACGGAGCTGAACGGTTGAATTGTCTTTTTAGCCTACGGCCTACTGATTAAGCTTTTGATGTTGGGCAGAGAGCTGCAGTTTCTTTTTTACTGTCCCAGTTCCCCAATATTCACGGAGTACAGAGTATTCACAATAACAGACTCGAACCTTGCGAGATTTGACGCTGCACACTCGACCTGGATTTTTACCCGAGCGTTTGGGCGGGAAACCCGCATGGAATTCCACATCTTTTTATATATAAATAGATATTTAATGTAAAATTGATAAGCACAAGATGGAGCCGAGCGTGAAGCTGTGGAGGTGCGAAAAGCATTTTTAATTAATGTTTAATTATACTTAATCGTTTAATTAGTAATTAAGAAGGCCAAATTTGTCCACTCATGATTACGTTAAGCCATTGGGGGTGCGCGAAACAACACCCATTTTTTGAAAATTATTTGGGAAAGTGAAAAGAGAACTTCCCAAAGGTTGGATTATTGTAAGAAAACCGCTAAAAGGTTGGATTATTAGTTTCCATTTTCCCTTTATTTTATTTGTAGACCTATTTGGGACTTGGGAGAACTTCCCAAAAACAAAACAAATGTTGCATGGTATGGTGGTAAGTTTCGTGGGCCTTTGTCACGGTAGAAAATAAACGACGGTGAGGCAGAATCAAAACAACTTCTTCGAAGGAATATTGATTTAAAACTAAAGAACAGAAGAAAGCTCACACAAGAATTTCATATAGGGGAATATTGAATAAATTTAATATACAACTATGAGATCGGCGCAATCATCGTACAGGGATCGAACCAATGAGTTTAACAATGTAGCTGTGAATTTGAGGAAATTTGTCTCGTCACCGGCATCGAGCAGCAGCGCAGTCGATCGTGGAGGAGAGGCCAAGGCGGAGCTAAGTCAGCCGGCTGTACCGTTTCAGTCGGAGTTCAATAGAAAAGCTTCGAAGGTTGGGCTAGGGATTCATCAGACCTCGCAGAAGCTCTCTAGGCTCGCAAAATGTTAGTTTTCAATTGAAAATTATCATTACGTTGTTTTCCCTTCCAACAACTGTGATACTAGTATCAATTTCATGATGTAGTTATTTTCGAGGATCTAATGCATAATTTGATAATGGGTAATGACTTGTAACTTTGGTATTCAAAGGTTATCGTCACCTTAAAATACTGACTCAAGTGAAACCATTTTAATCTTATAGATAACCGAATACTGGGATCTTTTATCAGTTTTTTGTTTTGTTTTTGCTGACTACCTTCAAGACTTTTTTTGAATTCGAACTGGTGCATCATGCACAGTTATTTTATTAAGCTTTTGTAGTTGCATTAAACCTGGTTTTGGGAAGTTTCAAATTCTGGTTTTCTACATTTTTGGGATTTCTCCCTTTTACGAATAAAAAATTGTTATGAATAAGTTCCCAGTTTCTAAACCTTTTTGCCTATATTTATGAGAGCTTTTCATTACATAATTTTATATTCAGAAATTGTTGTAAATTAGCTGTATGTATACACAAACAAGGATATCTGTCCTTTTCCTGCATTTTGGTTGGAGCAAACTTGTAATTACCTCCAGGTATTGCTCCTAACCTACAATAACATTGAATTGGTGGGAGTCTTGGATTATTTTTTCTCAGTGATTAATTATTCGAGGTCTTTGTTGAACTAACTTTAGCAAGATAACTAGTTAACTTTAGCAAGTTGTGATCTTTTGGTACTAAACTCTGTTAAAAGTTTCCTTGATACTTGAGTCTCTTGGGATTGCTCACTACAGGTGACCACTGACCACATTTTAGATTAAAAAACTGATGTGACCCATAGGCTAATACATCAAATAGAAATTGATTCATAGGACAAAGTTGTATTACTGCATAATATGTAAAGTAAATAATTTTTAGCCTTTGTATTGTTACTGTTGATTATAAGTTGATTTCTGGCTTGCTTTAACTCAACTACCAATCACACATACAAACCCTTCCTTTTCTCTTTAGACAAAGAATGATTTGCTGTGAATTTCAAATTTCTTTCACCTAAGGTGATATGTGCCGAGGGATATGTACCTGGCAAAAAACCTGTTGTATAATACATTCTTCTTTTTGGACAAGTTATTTGAATTAAAATTAATGTTTTAGCTAAATGGAAGATTTACATTACATATAGGCTCTTCATACTATTACGTGGACTATACATGTATTGATATTAGCTAGCATCCCAGATACCGGTAGCTTACTTTCCTTTAAAGTTGTAGTGGTGGCATTAGATTGAATGAATACTCCCTCTGTTCTCTTTAACCGTTGCGTTGGAGAAAAGTATTTGTTCTCATATAATTGCCCAGTTTGACTATTAAGAGAGCAATTTTTAATTCCCAACATTGCTCTTCTTCATTCATATATGTTACATAATGGTATAGAACTATAAAACATTAATAGGGGCATACAGTATATTTTTTATAATATGACTAGTCATATTGTTTTAAAATACTAGGAGTACTTTTTTATGCATGCAAAGACCTTAAATGACTGGAGAAAGAACATATGCTGTAGACCTTTAGTATCCTTAGTCAAGGTCATTGAACAAAATCTTTACCGATTGAACTTCCAACTCAAGGTCATTGTAGCGTTTTCATCTTCTCATTTCATAGTCTTTTAGCAGATTAGACATATGGAGAGCCTGTTTGGTAAGGGTTATTTGGTAATGGGTAAATATGGTTGCGTTTCCTGAATTTTCTGAAAGAGTGTTTGGTAAAACCCGTTTAAGTCAAATAACCAACTCAAAAACTACTTATTTAGATTATTTTTTTATTTCTGTTAAGCAGAATAAGTAGAATATGCAACCTTTGATTACCAAACGAGCTCTAAGTAGTTTTTGATTTGCTTTCTTTGGCCTCTTTCTACTATATTTTATCTTATTTCTTTATTTCTAGGGTGCTTACAAAGAACTACCCTGAATATCAAATATATATGTCGATTTTAAATATTTTTCCACAGTTGCAGAGTACATCTGATTCAGTGATTCCTAACTACTTCCTGCATCCTTACAGTGGGAAAGAGAACATCAGTTTTTGATGATCCCACATTGGAGATTCAAGAGTTGACAGCTGTGATCAAGCAGGACATTACTGCACTTAATTCCGCTGTAGTAGATTTGCAGCTCCTGTGCAACTCCCAAAGTGAACATGGAAACATGTCTACAGACACTACAACCCATTCATCCACTGTTGTTGACAACCTGAAAAGTCGATTGATGAGCACAACAAAAGAGTTCAAAGAAGTCCTCACCACACGGACTGAGGCATGTTGATCTTCCTTAGCCTTTGTTTCGTCTAGAAAATTAGCAGAGAACAGATCAATTGATAATTAAGATATTAAGTAGAGAAATATGGTAGATTCTGTGTGTTTTTTTATAGGTGAGAAATTGAGAAGAAATGGGTAGAAATTGAGAAGGAATGAATTCCTTTCATATTTATCTCCCCCTTCTCTCCTGATTTCATCCCAACCAAACGAAGGCTTATAGATGACTTTAGTCTTTAGTAAGTCTTGGATTTGCAATGTTGTGTACATATGTAGATATTTTTTACTATATATCATTGTATCCTCACGGTTGCTAAGATTGACTTTTCACTGCAGAACTTGAAGGTTCATGAGAACAGAAGGCAGCTATTTTCTTCAACTGCAGCAAAAGACTCTGCTAATCCTTTCATTCGGCAGCGTCCTGTAGCTACCAGAGCAGCTGCTGCTAGTAGTTCTGCATCTGTATCTCCCCCTCCATGGGTTAATAATTCTGCTTCCTCTTACCAGTTAGCTCGTAGGTAAAGTGATAGATCTAAACTAACCCTCCCTACAAAGAGTCTTATTTCAAAAGCATTTTTTGCCCCAAAAAGAAAGTCGGATTTCTTAAAACAAAGTTAGTTTTTCATTCATTTTGCCAAAAAAACTCCAAATAAGAGTCACTTAAATATGATAAATTTTGTTATACTAACAAATGATTATTGATTTATTACATTTTTACACTTTTACCTTACCAAAATTTAGAGTTGTATGTTGGTCAACCAATCCTTTTCTTATTGTGGTGGAGGTAGTTTCATTTATCATCTAAGGTCATGTACCTTATGTATGTAGTTTTATTATCTTCTTTGTGTTGGATGAGGCAGAATGATGAGGTCCCCTAATTTGAAGCGTCCTACTTGGCATGATTAAGTAGATGCAACCTTGCAGGTTACACACAAATGCTAAATAATGCTATGATATCTGAGAACCACCTATCATGTGCACAACTGTGTCTAATTTCACAAAGTGGAGCTTCACTTTTATGTTATTTGGGGACAATATTACAGACAAGCTCAATTTGACTCTCAGATGTTGTGTCCTACCAAAATTAAAATGTTGTCTTGATCAAATGTGTTTTTTTTTGTTGGGACGGAGTAAAGTATTTTACATCTCAAATCTCATTGTTGCCCTTTATTCCCACAGTGATAAGCTAGACGGGGAATCCCAGCCATTGCTGCAACAGCAACAAAGTGAACAACAACAGCAACAGTTTGTTCCTTTACAAGACAGTTACATGCAAGGCAGGAGTCAGGCCCTTCATAGTGTTGAGTCAACAATTCATGAGCTGAGTAGCATTTTCACACAATTGGCAACCATGGTTTCTCACCAAGGAGAATTGGCAATTAGGTATGTTTTTCTTAAGTTCTCATATACGAAAACAAACATTGCTTTTGTCAGTATTGGTAATTGCGCGATGCCTTTGCGCCTTGAGGCCCGGCCTCAGTGATTTTTAGGGAAAATACGCACTAAGGCTACTCCAGAGTAACACAATATTAAGGGTTACGCCTATTGGGCCGAGGCATACTCCTTGAGGCATACTACGCCTTGAGGCATATGCAATGAGGCGGGAGTGGGACGTACACGATTGCATTTTCAGATTGAGTCAAATAAGTTGTGCCCACTTAAAAAATACGTAGTACAATCTTTCTTTTACAACTTATGTGACTCTACGCTTCTCTTCTTCTACAATTCACCTTCCTTCTGCGAGCCTTCTATGGCTCTTCATTCTCTTTTCTCTAGTTCTCATCAGCAAGATACTGTTTTATTATTTATTTTTCATGTTGGTAATTGTTATATTTTGTTTGAACTTTGAAATTAGTATGATAGTAGGATATGTGCATTAACATGATTTGATTATGTAAATTCTCTCCTCTTCTCAAGGAGATGTTTTTACAGCTTTATTATCTTTTCCGTTTTAAAATGGATGTGGATGTTGATAATGGTGGTAATGGCAAGTGATGGTGTTGGTGATGGTGGATTTGAAGTTGGGTTATGATCCCTATTTCCAACGACTAGATATTTATGACCCTAATTTTTATCTTTCAATCTAATAAGATTTGGAATTTTAATGGGTGGGCAAGATTTTTGAAGTTTGAAATTGCTATTTTGATGGAAAATGAACCTCTTATTGTTTGTTTTGGCTAAGAAGTTGTTGAATTTTTAACGACTTCTGTTATTCTGTTTACATTCATTTTTAATATTATGTGCAACAGTGCAAGTGTGCAACCTTTATGTATAAATTTGTATTAAGAACTGATGCTGATGTCTCATTATGCAATGAGGCTTGCACAACAATACCTATAAACTGCCTAAGCTATGAAATTTACACTTTTAAAATTGGATTATATAGAGGTTTAATGAACTTTAAGTTTGCAACTTGAATTTCCTTTTTCACCCAAACCGCTATGGATTTGGAGTGGCCAAACTGAATGTATAAACTGTATAATATGTGAACTCCATTAGATGTCATCGTGTCAAATGTTGGAGTTCAACTGAAAAGCGCAAAACTGAAACCAGACCGGCCAAAACTAACACCGATATTACCATGTGCAATTCAGTGTAAGATTTAAGGTTAAGGCTCTGGAAACTGACTGACTAACCAAAATGTCCAAAAAACCAAAATTGACAAATACTAACTGAAAATTACCAAACCTGAACTGGCTCAAGTTATTTGGTTATGTTTTCAGTTTTACAATTTTCAAACCGAACTGATTAAACCCAAGTTGAACAAACAAACACCCTATATTAGTACAAGGTTCACGTGGTCTAGGGTTTGAGGCACACCTCGTTATGGGCTCTTGGTCCCCTATTCATGTGTGAACTATTGCAAATGATGCTTTGGAAAAATGAATAAGTTAACTCTGATCTCCATTTAACATACAATTCCATTCAAAACTCACACCTCCATGCGTACTTAAAAAATGAAGGTTTCTTTTTTTTTTTTTTACTTAGAAAGTTTATGGTGGTTGACAGGATTGATGAAAACATGGAGGACACACTGTCAAATGTGGAAGGGGCACAAGGGCAATTAGTCAGGTACTTTAACAATATATCTTCAAACAGGTGGCTGATGATCAAGATATTCCTGGTATTGATTGTTTTCCTCATGATTTTCCTATTCTTTGTAGCCTAAATCTTTCTATAAATCTCAATTAAAAAGAACCGTTATTTTTTCTTTTCCATTTCCTTTTTCTTCCAAGCAATCTGTAATTAAATGTACACAGAACCCAAAAAAGCTGTTTGCAAAAGAAAAAACACAACAGCTCTGACTTGTTTTTTTGTCATTGATTCCTTCTCTCTATACTGGATACTGTAGAGTAATAGCCCATTTGTTGTAATGGAATCCAGGGATTCTTTGTTGATCAATTTCCACAACCGAGAAATTAAGGTACAGTATTTGATAAATATGAAAATTTGAACTCTGGAATTTGTTTTAGAGTCTGTCCATGCTTCTACCAGGGATGGTGTTAAGAGAATAAGTCCGTGACATTGTGACAATGGGCATGGGCTGGTTCTGGTTTTAGACCAGCTGGTTCCTGTCTCAAGAAAGGGTGAACCATAAGTGTAATCTATAACACTAATTCAGCTCTTGGTCGGGTTCTGGTTGGGTTCCTACCTGAATTATAGTAATCAATAATGTAGTCTAATTAAAAACAGAACAGTATGTATCTGTTTGGTCCTATTTCGAAGGAAACTGAAACAGTTCTGGAAATTCTCGGTTACCCGCATCCATTCTGGATGGGATAATCCGCTCAATTACTGGTTCAAATACTGTTCTGCCTTGGTCCAGAATTGGGACTGTGTCCATGCCTATATCCCCACATTATGACAAGAATAAACAGGAATAAAAATAAGATGTATGCTCTGGACCCAGTGGATGCGGGGATTAATTAAATGGACTTGTAATGATACATCAACAGCCAGATTCGTCAATTTTATTCAACTTAGAGTCATTAAACTGTGTGCCGACTCTTTAAGACTTAACTCCCAGTTCATTGTCTTCAATGTATGTCGATGAGAAGGAAAAAGCTTGGTGTCTCCATCCTTTATATACGCTTTGTTCATTTCGCATGTACTATGGACATGTAGTATGAAGTTCCCTACATTGTGCATTTTTAAACGAATTCCCTGTGATATCGACTAAAAGTAGGGGGTACCAAAAGACGCATACAAATATTATTTATCATATAAATATCTTATGAATATGGCTTTTACGCAATCCATAAGTTCATATCCACAAAATGTTTCTTCACTCGTTTTATTACAGTTCAGAAAGTGACACAAACTTTTGGATGCAATGATAAAATGTGAATTGTGAAATGTAGCTACGTTTAAACAAACCCAAAAGGGGAGTGAGGAATTTTTTTTATTCTAGAGATGTTATTAAATTAAAGAGGGTTTACTCCACAATAAGAATGCATACGGTATACCATATATGATACTGATTATTACTGATAGCTTGTCATCAGGAGAGCTTCAAAGCTTATTTATGTAGATATATCATATATGTCACCATCTTCTGGCTTGTATAAGAAACTAGTTTCGTGATTGCGTGTTGCTCGATCGTAAAATGCCCAATATTATTGGTACAACTTGCAAATTAGGTGATATTCTTTGTTAGTATAGTTGATTTGCATAATTATGCACACATAATTAGCCTATGACAAGTTCGTGCTATCATGTGAGCCTAAGCATTTTTTACGCGTTGGATGGCAAATGAGACTATGAGAGCAAAATAAATGTCAACATAAGAAACATACGTGATGTAGTGACTGTTTCCCAAACTCTTAGGAGGTGTTTACTTCGCTGCTAAAGTCACAGTTAGGTTAGTAAGACAGGTGAAATAAACACGTTCGCTGCTTAAAAAGCCGTTTACTAACCGAAAGAGATTTTAAAGTGCACTAAGCATACCACCCCATGTATTAATTAAGCGACATTTTACGCTTTTTCAGTTTCCGAATTTACCCCTTGTCCTTACTCTATTGTTACCTCTCTATCCGCTACCCCACCCCGCCCAACTCTACTACCTTGACCCAGACCCCACCCTACCCATTACTTCCATCCTCGTACCTTACTCCTACCCCCACCCGACCCAATCCCTACCTACCCTAACCCTACCTCGTCCCCACCCCGATCCCGACCCCACACTATCCCCACCCCTACCCTGACCCTGACCCCGACCCCACCCCTACCCCCTACCCACCACCATCCCCACCCTTATCCCTAACCATGACCCTACCCCACTCCATGGCCATTTTCCCCTACCTTGGCCCACCCTCGCCCTCACCCCCGTCCTCACCCCCACCCATAGCACTTACCACCCTACCATACTCCCCACCACAATGCCCCTACCTCGGCCTCACCCCGATCCCGACCCCACCCTACTGCCATCGTACCCCCACCCACCCCCTATCGTGGTAAGGGTAGGGTAGGGGTCAAGGGTGTTGAATTGGGTGTATGGTGTAGGGTAGCGGTGGGGGTACGTGGGGGTATAGGGGTTAGGGGTATGGGTATATGTAAAAGGGGACCCCACATATTATATTATATACATGTGTTCATGAATGTTTGTGTGTCTATATATGTATAGGGCTATTTTGGACATTTTAATGTTAAACAGTGTTTTAAACCCTGTGAAGTAAACACGATCTTACAACATTGCTTATTTTATGCGCCGCTTATTAACGCGGGTCTTAATAAGCACCGTTTAGTAACCCGTGAAGTAAACATGTCCTTAGAGTAATAAGTACAAACCACAAGGGGTAAAACAACTCTACAAGAAAGAAAGATATCATCATAACCCCAACATGTGATAAAAACAATTCCTAAACTTACTCCTAATTTTTAGATTTTTACTATCGGAGCGATTAATATACACCATGTATACTCATATTAGTACTATATTAAAATAATAAATTTGAATACAGGTTAACTTAGTCACATTTATTCATCATCACTTGTACACATGCTACACAATGACCTCCTCCAAAAACCATCCCCACCCCACCCATGTACGTAATAAGAGGAGTTTGGGCAGCCGATCCTTATAATGTTTCCAAATGAGCTGCCTATTTCAAAATCCTACAACAAGAGGTGTATCAGAGAATATTTGAGTAGGTAAAGAATTCATATTGTAAAATGCATGTATATAGTATATGGGCAAGTTTCTGCAATTGACATTCCATATAGAATCCATATGAAGTTCATGTTGAATATATGCTCACTTCCTTCTCTTCTCTAGGAGTAAATGTCATAAGAGTCCACTCAAGTGCTAGAATGTGGAGGGCCATTTTGTGATAATGCTTCATGAGTGTTGTGATCATCTTAAGTTTTCTATTGTAATAGTAAATTTACACAGATAAACAAATTAGAGGTATGATTCAAGTGAAAAAATGTATATTGAATGGTTAACATTTTCTATTGTGATTATTTTGACGGTGAAAGAACAAAAGAGAGGTTTAATGGAGAAATGAGAAAATGAAGAAATTGAGAAGGGTAAGGAGTAACTTTAGCTAATTGTACTAATCTCTGTTGCATTGATGATTGATGTTACATGAACACTTATTACATGTCCTTCCCACATTCATGCTTAGAGTGCAGCTCTTATTTAAGCATTTATTTGGGTGGTTTGAATGAGGTGGGGTGTTGGGGGTTGAACAGAGCTTTTGCAAAATTGCTTTTCATCCTGCTTAAGAAATAATTGTAGGTTATTGAAGAAAAATTCATCCAAGTGCATACAAGTGTTCAAATACCAGTTTTAGCCAATGTTCTAAAAGGCGCTAGGCGCTAGTCGGGCGTCAGCCAAGCGCCTAGCGCCTAGTCGGCTAGACGGGCGCCTAGGCGGGGACTAATCGGAGACATCAAATTGTAGTTTTATCAATATTTTTGCATAAATATGATTTGTAATGTTGTGTTTGTGTGTGTATAAAAAATATATACACACACATACACATTAACATGCATAAATGATAGAGTTATCACATTTAATAATATATTATATCTACTCACTTACTCACTAGTAGCTTTCTTCACATGCATTGTCAAAGTTAAAGGTACATATTTCTTAGGATACTAAAATAAAAAAGCAAAAAAAAAATGTTCGATGAATCTAGACGCCTAGGCGGCCCATTAAGCGCTCTAGGCGGGCAACTAGGCGCCCTAGATGGCCGACGAATTCACCTAGGCGCCGATTCAATTAGTCGGGGCGCCTAGACCAAAATCGGGGCGCCCGACCACCGCCTAGCGCCTAGGCGGGGACTAGTCGGGCGCCTAGAGCGATTTTTAGAACAGTGGTTTTAGCTATAATAGGTATTTTATACTCCTACAAATGTTGGTTTGCATATGCCTTTAATATTGTAAAAGTTTACTTTAAATCAACAAATTTAGCTAAGTAGCAGCAACTTTGACCAGAAACACACAAAGAATGCTATTGAAGCATATTATCAAACACTTTTTTTTACTCCAGGGGGAGGAGGGTTTGGGGGGGCCTGGGGTAAACTGAGATCAATCTCACTCCATTGAGAATTGAACCCGGGACCTCCCATAAAGAAAGTTTATCTAACTAATGTAAAACTAACCATTGGTGATAGGCTTAGCCGACTGCATCTTTCGGAGTTCTGTAAAAAGCTACCAGTCACATTATTATTGAAAAATAAAAGAAACTATAACAAAAGTGTAGTAAACAAAATTGAACCGCAGATAACATAAGTAAAACTTAAAATTCGATATTGTATTGATTAACTTCGGAGAAAACATGGAAAGAAAATTTATGCGTTAAGAAACAGCTAAAAACGAAGTCCTAAAAGCTTCAAGCTATACTATGGAAAAGTTGATAAAGAATAGCAATCGATTTTTGTCATAATAGTTTAGAAGCTATAAAACCCAAGAAAACCCAAATTCACCATGGCCAAAGATCATAGAACAAAATAATGAAATGGAAAACATTATCGAAAAACAATCCGTATTTTGTGGTCACTTTTCGGAAATCATGATCCATGCCAATTTGTTAAACGTTTTTTAGTTTTTTCCAATATAAAAGATCTATTCCAACCTTTGACATGCAGAATGAACTATGCAGCACCGTTGCTTGTGAAATCCATCCAACTCCTCTGGTTCTTTTACGCTTTTTCAATCGAAATAGACTACATAGCAAGTGAACTTTTAAAAAGGGACTTATTTTATTCTTATCGAGTAAACTGAGTTAGAATTAACGGAAAATGAGGGTTAACAGCGTCAATTTATTGGAGCGTACAATGAGTTTATGAGTAATCTCCAACTAATTAATGGAGCTCAGTTACACAACATTTTTCACTTTCCCGTTATACCTTTACCACTATTGGTGCTTATAATTTTTTAGATTTAGATTTTAGATTATCTTCTAACTTTTATAGTATTTAATAAGTCTTTAAGTTATATATTTTACACAACAAATTTGAGTTATACGATAGTATATTTTACACAACAAATTTTAGGAGCTCCTTTCTTTTTTTAATCTAAGAGATTTGTTTTCGGAAGCTATTCTGAATAGCTTCAGTAAGAAAGTCTATAACTTTAACATTAATTAATCATATTTTTTTGGGATAAGGGTCAGATAGGGCCTCGAACTCGAAAAAAAATGTCAAATAAGGTCATATTTCGGATGCTCTGTCTGGCCGACGCCATTTGGGGCGGTTCCCGATGGAATTTTTTGATAAAATTTTTTGAGCATCTTCCTCATTAAGTCTAGTTTACCCATACCAAATTTCAGCTAAAAACTCAACCGGGAAGGTAGTCAAATGAGTTTTTGAAGATAACTGTGAAGTTAAACAACGCCGTACATTTCGGAAAATTATTTGACTACCTTCCCGGTTGAATTTTTAGCTGAAATTTGGTATGGGTAAACTAGACTTAATGAGGAAGATGCTCAAAAAATTTCATCAAAAAATTCCATCGGGAACCGCCCCAAATGGCGTCGGCCAGACAGAGCATCCGAAATATGACCTTATTTGACATTTTTTTTTCGAGTTCGAGGCCCTATCTGACCCTTATCCCTATTTTTTTAAGTAGTTGTATTAGACAATTTAGACATATCCTACAGCTTTAGTGTCACGCTATTATGCTAGAGTATCCCTTTATTTTGTGTATCAATAGACAAACTTCCACCCATTTTCATCTTTTCCCTCTTCTTTCCCGG